GAAGAGGAAAAGGATTAACAAACAAAAGAAGTAGAAAAAAATATAATATTAATATTTAGATTGTAATAAAAGGAAATGATCAAAGAAAATATGAGCATGGGTGTGTTAGTTCTATTAGTAATTCTGGCAAGAGTTGAGGAATGGTGTTGGATAGACCGTCTCGGACAGACTTTTCTCACAGCCTGAACTGATCTCAATTTCCACTTGGAGACAGGTGAGAGATCAATCAGGTAAGCCTAGGCAATGGACGGTAGATTTTGGAATTAAGAAAAGTATAAAAACTCCAATGTTGAAGAATGAAGAATGACTACAATAACTGAAAATTGAAAGAAGAATGACTAGTAGGATGACTGATGACATGTTGGTCATCCTTGTAGTCATTCTTCTTTCTGTCCTCTCTGCCTAGTGTCGCCACCTTCATTAAAAGGATCCCCAAAGTAAACCAGATCAGACCTTCTACAAATCACCACTGCCCCGGGGCTGTTTATTCTTAACATCGAAAGTATGGAAAAATAGATTGAAGGAACCTTGAGACTTCCTTTTACTACTTGGATTCTTTTATATCCAATGCAAGCATTTTTAACCACTAAACGGTTTTGTAAGAGCACTTAGTATTGTTTTCCTCCTACATCACCACCCACATACACGAGTACCCCTAGGTCATCCCCAAGGATTTTCTCCCAGTAAGTTGGCATGCTCATGTGGGGGCCGAGGGGGGAAATTAAAAAAGAACTCAATGAACGATAATATGTGATATATCGTCATCGTCTCCCTTGCTGTTTGGATTGCTGAGTGGTAACAATCAACGACATGTGGAAGCAGTTGAGTCAGAGATAGATGCTTCGTTTACAAACAACACAACTGTTTATTAAACACGAAAGAAGCTTACAAGATTTCCGCGATCTTGGAAGTTCTGTGGCGGCTGCGGCCTCTGGGTCTTCCTCTCCTTTCCAAGATAGTCCCATTTTGAAGGAGTGTCCCTTGTTCGCAAATGAACCATTCCATCACGTCTCGATGACTCCAGGACGATGCGGTCGACTTCCGTTGATGGAAAGATGTCGATCCGAGGTTGGGAGATGGAGACAGAGATGGGTGCGAGACACACACACAACGACAGATCCGTCACTTGGAACTTTCGGGAGAAGCCGTCGCGTCCTTGAATTTCCGGGGTTTTATCCGTTTTCTCTCAGATTCCCCCTTTCCGATTGGTCTCTCCTCGTCACCGGATGACAATTCAAAACCTTTCGAGGGTGCGGGAGAGGTCAAAATCGAAGTTTAATTCGATCTCCAACTGGAAATGGTCGACGGACTTACATTATTCTATTCTTAAAAGTTAGCGTCGCATTTTCATAAAATAAAATCTATTTCTAACAACTATATATTTTTTCTTTAAAACAATTATTTTAACGCGAATTTTAGTGAGGGTTTGGACCTGTCCAGAGCCTCACACTCACAATCACATTTTAATTCATATATTATGCCTGTTTTGTTTAATTTTTCTTTTTCACTTATTTTTTTTCTATTTACTCCTGTAATATTTAGTTTACTAGTTTATAAAGGAACTAAATGATGCCTACTTGTTTCAATTTATTTTTTGCTTTTTAAACAGTCCTTTTATATATGGAAAAATGTAAAATCTATCTTTGTATTTTTTAGATATTTTAATTTTAACATTCTTAGAAGTATTCTAATTATAATTATACATAACAAAAAATAACTAAAATAAAATACAAAAAATAATAATAAAGGAACCATAAAATACAAACAATGATGATAGTACATAAATTCGGTTAATATATACAATAGTAATTAGTATATAGTTTTAACCTGATCCTGGTTTACAACATACTTCTATGCTGTGGATTAGCCAGTGATTTATATGATTAATACACAAATTCATAATATTGATATTTTGTTTGTATATAGTTATTTTTTCCAACATGCTGGTCCCTGGTGGTTTTTAAGAGTTTAGAGTCTTTGACATATTCTCAAGAACAGTTGCCATAATAGCCTGTGTTGTGTGCTGTTCTCTTTACCTACAGCATATTGATATGCCCCGGAAAGCCTGGTGGGAATGTTTCAGAATGTGTATCATATGTATTTGTTGAGTCTATTTTCTAGACCTAGAATGAAGGGTATTTCATACACTCTTGGGACTGTAGTAGGATCGATTATGTCCTTGGCATAACACAATAAGCTATATTGTGTGCTTATACATTACTTGTTTGTTGCACAATGTAATAGCCTTTCTGAAGGTGTTATCCAACAACTCATTGTACCAGTGCGGTGATGGGTGGAGAAGATTTATCATTTTTGGGGAGTTTTCTGTGATTGTATGTATTAACTAAGGTGTTGATGGTGTATTGGTTGTATCTGTGAGTGGCTGTGGCTATGTTTCCAATCCTGTTCAAATTGTTTAAGGTGTCAAATTGTTATAGTCAGTCAATGACTTTTACTTTCCCAGCTATTATGTATACATAACAAGGGTAAGTATTGGAATCATGTCAAACTTGACCCTCAGTGTTTTGCAAATCTCCATGTTTTGAGACCTCCTGAACCCAAAAAATTGCAAAAAAATTCTGCGGATGTGTTTGTTTGTGGGAAGTGTTGGCATATCTATTTCACTTAATATCTAAGGTTGGGGTAAAGATTAAATAATGAAATATGGCATGGTGGCTTGTATATGAAGAGTATTGATGCTATTAAATTTTGGTGGTTAAAATTCAAAAGGGTGGATAGATAAAGGGAGTTGTGCAAATCTCCAGTAGGGTCAGGCTTAATGATAATTTTACTGATTATTAGCATTTATACTTTTTTATAAAACTTGTCCCTACCCTCAAAATTAAGCTTTTTGCCATTTTATAGTAATTAAAAATATAAAAACTTTTTTATAACAGAATCTCATAACAGATGATGCCACACATAATTTTATTAAGTTATATCGTAATAACAATTATAAAAACTATTTTTAAAATAATATCTTATAAAATCCAGGAAAGTTATGCAACTCATTGCTGGATTTTTTTACTTGTTGGAGAGTCACTGCCGTAACTCTCAATTTTTATCTATACAATGTGTGTGTTCTGGTTTTGAAAGGAGCCTCAAAAAATTTTTAACTCATGGTATCACCAATTGTAAGTCTGACCTTGATTACAGCACATTTCCCATATAGTAAATGCTATTCGGGTGAAAGTTAAGTTTGGATATTATATGGCAGGTCATTCAGTTTTAATTTACTTGCAATGTTTATGGATTATTTTGTTCTCAAACACATCAGATATTTTATTTCCCACAATACATAACTATTTATTATTCAGTGGACATTTATTATTCTAACTTATTTGTCTTCTTAATTGACTTTCTTTAGGAGATATCTAAATCAATTTTACAATCTAAAAAGAACAAAGTCACTTATTCTATTTTATTTCTAATGAAAACGTTTAAAAAGATCTTAACTATGAAGATATAGACCACAATGTTTGTATCTGTTGTAATTCCTAAATTTAAAAACTTTCTGTAAAGATTTTCTGATTATTTCTCAAGAACTTCTGGTAAATAGTAAATATGTCTAATAAAAAATTGCCAGGACAAATATGACATTTACAGAAAAATATATTTCTTATTGATTATACATACACAGATGAGTCTTTAGTCAATGAGAAATATATTTTTCTGTAAATATCATATTTGTCCTGGCAATTTTTTATTAAATGTAATTATTGATTTTAATTTTGCTGTGTTACCACTAGAGGACTTCTGTAACTATTTTACATTTTTTTTGTGGCGAATGGTAGCCTACAAAGAAAAGTCGACTTTGCCAATGGAATTGTTATTGTTTCGTACAGCATGTGAAGGGACAAAAAATGGACTAAGACTCATCTGTGTATGTATAGTCAATAAGAAATATATTTTTCTGTAAAAGTAAACATGTCTATTTACTTTTCATTTAAAAATGGCCAACAATAATTTATATATTTATAGTAAAAAGTGGATTGCTATGACAGATTATGAAGATAAAAATGTTTTGTATTCATTATATCTTTACTATGTAAATTATTGTGAACCATTTTTAAATGAACTATATGTTGTGAGATTGACCTGTGTGCAAACCAATTTTCCACTTTCCTCCTAACTTTTTGATATATTTTAAAGGAATTTATCACCTTACTGTGAAAAACCCATTGTCAGAAAAAAAGGAATCAAATATCTCATCAACAACAATAGAAACTTATAACTCTTCTCTTTAATGTAAACATTTACACATCTAAATAATGGCATTCTCACTCTGCAAGACTGAAAGTTTACAATTATAGTCCAAATTCGTCATTTTGTTGTAGTCCCAGGAACAACTTTAACCTCCAAACCTGCTCCAATGACATTTATCTCGCACAACAGTTAATCACATGATGAGTTTTTCCACAGTGAAGCTATAAAAGCGACTTCTTCCCCCACCTCTGGCGAGTCTCTCATCTAAGGCTGGTCGAAAGTGATTCAGGTCTCAAAGGATTTTTGGATTGTTATAACTTTGTGCATCAATCTACAAAAAGAAAAGGAATAATATTTCCTTCTCTGTGGAATTATCCTAGAGGTATGAAAGAATTAATGTGAAACTCTCTCTCCATATATTAGGATCTAGCGAACCAAGTTAAAAGTTCTCGATGTTAGAGTTTGTAATCGTTAATTTTTGTTTAATCTAATAAACTGTTGTTTCCATTGTTAAATGGTGTCATTTACTCGCATATCGCCTACACATTATCGACAACCCCTCGGGATCAAAACTCATAAAAAAGCCATCCCCTGACAAGTGGACAGGTCCAACAAGTGTCCACAGTTTTATGGTATCATTGTCAGATGAAATATAAATATTTTTAGTTTTAAATTTTTTAGTTATTCAATAATAAATTAAGCATATTATATTTTTTAATATAATAATATACTTAATCTATTATTGAATATGAATATAATGGTATAACATCTATATATAAATTTTTTAATCTTAGGTTTACTTGTTTTTGAAGAATTCAATAATAAACTGCAAAATATTGAAATTAAAAAAGAACAACTGGCAAATGCTGAAAGATTATTTGATCTCAAAATTTCTTCATGGCCAGATCTGATCAATATCTGGAATAAAATGAATAATTTAAAACAGTTATTTCATATTTATGAAAACGTAAAGGTAATATTCTTCTATTTCCAGAATTTGTACTTTTAAAATTTTTGTATTTGAACTCTTTGTATTAATAAATTTAGTATATGTAAATTTATTTATACATACTAAAATATTAATAATAATTTCTTTAATATTCAATCTATTTATTTTTATGTAGAAGTAAATCATGACAATTTTTGATTTTGGGAAGTTTGCCCACACATATATAATGAATTCAATTTTCAATTATTAATCAATAACACACAGTAACATTTTATATTTTTTATTGATTTTGAGCTCTCATATTTTCAAATATATCCTGACAAATTATTCTTATCATTTGCTCTTGATTGTCTAGATTAAGGCCATCATCCATCACAATTACTGTTAATACATATTCATGATCTCAAAAATATTAAAATTGTTTGCCATTGTTTGTTTACAATCATGTTTTAATGTTTAATTTTTGTAAATACAGTAAGACGTCTCCAACTCAAAGATCCAAGGGGCAGGAAAAACTTTTAAGTTCTGAGCCTTGATTTCTCAAATAAATATGCAATCTTCTGTATCTGATGTGGTCTTTCATCTTCCACATCTTCTCTTTGACACAATGGATTCAATGGAATCATAATGCTTAATGAAGGACTAGACTGAGGATTTGAATGGAGAGGTTTCTTTCAATTTCTCTTATCAGGATGTTTTCCAACAATATTTCCCTGATTTTAAGAAACAGTATAATCTGCTTTACCAATGCACTACCAGCATAATCTGCTTTGCATTGCAAAGCAGATTATGCTGGTAGAAAATTACAGGGATTGACAGGATGGCCACCATTGTCAATACTACACAAACTTCAAGGCAAGTGCTTTTACTACATGTGAAAATTTTTCACATGATCACTGCAACAATTCTTGAATTTCCTATCACCTTTTTTTAAAACTAATAACAGAAAACTTTTCTCATCAGATTTGCATTGCCGCTACACTATCAATAACAATGATATAAATTCTACAAAAAGAGGGAAGTCACAAAAGCCTCAATAACTGTCCTGCATGAATTTCAAAGATAGTGAGTCAACTCAGTTTTTTTTTTTTTTTTTACAATTATGGTTACATATATCATATTTCAAACTTTTTTTTATGAGTTGGAAATAAAAGGGGGTTTTCCTTTTATATTTTATCAGTTATTTTCCAAACATGAATAACTTGCAGATGTAAATGCTCAACAAACTTTCCTTTTATTCATGTGCAAACTTCTAGGTTTGGGGGAAGGTACATTGGTGGAGTCAGATTATAATAATTAAATAATTATGAGAAATTTTATATCTTAGGTATGTTAAGTAATAAAATTTTTTTTATTGCATATTAACAAATTATTGATAATGGTTGTAAGACATATTGAAAAATATTTTGAGTATTATATTTCACAAATTTTTATTTTGTAATAGTTTGAATAACATTATTAAATTTTATTATTTTTTTAAATTTCAATAGTTACAAAAATTCCAAACCTTTTGCATTCTGCAATTTTATTCATTTAAATTTTTTATTTCTACTTTGATTTTAGATATCTGAAGAAAATTGGTGTGAAAAACTTTGGGTTGATTTTGATCCTTTAGATCTTCAAAAAAGTAATGAAACCTATCAGAAAGAATTTCATATGCTTCCAGATGGCATTAAACAAATTCCTTTAAGTCATACTTTAAAACAAAAACTGGATCACACTAAAAATTCTATTCCATTATATCTTATTTTAAAAGAAGAAGCAATCAGAGATAGGTTAGTGTAATATTAAATAATGAAATTCAAAAAGTTATACTGTTTCTTTGCAGACACACTAAGGTGACATATATCAACACTTGGCAACTTATTGACTATTTATTCAGTTATTCAGAAACAGCTTAATAACAACAACACGGTTTCATCATAATCAAAAGTTATACTGATTTATATTATAATAATACTGAAATATATTTTGTTATAATTAAAGGATTACTTACAAACTTAGTTCAATTTATTCTTTAAAGTTTTAAGAGAACAGAGAAATTAAAATTATGTAATTTATTATGTTGGCCAGAATCTAATTGTTATGAGTTGTTTTTAGTATTTACTATGTCATATTTTAGTATTATAAATACTCCCTGGGTAGAATAGGATTATTTGTATCCTCTGTGATCCATAGAAGGCAGCAAAAAGAGATTTGTATTACGAAGGGCATTTAGTCATAAGAAGAACCTTAGAAAATCATATTTATAGGTTGGATAAGCATCAAAAAAATTCCAAGAATGTTAGGACATCCCTTTAGACAACATGCCCAAGTGGGATAAGAAATAAATTAGGGTTACCATGTTAGTCACAATGGGCATGGCTAAAGAAGATAGTTTGTGGAATACCAAGAGACTTGAAGACTGGGAATGGGGAACCAGTTTAAGAATGGCAACACAGCAAATAGTATCAATTACTAAGAAGAATTAGAGTTGGCAGTGGCATTGAGGAGAAGAAAAGTACAAGTGACAAAATAGACTGGAGGAAAAAGCAGAAGAAATAGGAGAAGGGTACAAACTATTGTGGGGGTACACCAATGTATTTTTATATATGTTTTATATAGGTTTTTCTATTTTTCTTTCCTTCCTTCCTTTGTTCTTTGTTCTTTTGTATATACTTCCTGGAACTTTCTTTCAAGTGTGGGTGGTGGGTGACCTGGTTAGAGGACAAAGAAAAGGATTAGCCCAGAGGGCAAGAGGGAGAGACGAGAGGGTCACTTTTTGCTTGGGACCTGGAAGAGGGAAGATGCATTGGAGAGGTCTCCAGGTTGTTTTTGCATCGACTGGAGAAGGTAACGAAAGGTTTGAAAGAAAAGAAGATCTGAGACCCAAAGAGGAAAGAAGTATCGTGATTAAAGACATCTGAAGACTGAAAAGCCAAGTGAAATATTGATCGGCTTTCACATACAATTGGTCCCCACAATCCAGGACGACATCATCCAACCACCGCCACTTCGATCGTCAACTTGGGTACCCATTCTTGCTTGAAACTATATTTCTATCTATCCTATTATATATCCCTTTCTGTCTTTCCCTTATTAGAATAAGTAGATTTAAGTTATTGATAAGTATTTTCTTTGTTATTGATAAGTATTTTCGGATCCACAGTCAGAACAAAAATTTCTGTTCTGACTGTGGATCCGAAAAGGTTTTGATTTTGAGCGAAAAGGGAATTAGGAGTGTCGGAATCCAGAAGATCCTGTAAAGTGTAAAATATACGGGCAAAAAAATAAAAGCACGTTTTATTATTTAATATATGCATCTTTGTAAAAATAAACCTCACCACATGCATATGACCACACTATTATACAGTAGGATAGCCAACAAGAGAAATAGTGTAGAAATCATTATCACTGAATACCTAAAAGAGAAAGTAATTGAAGTCTGATGAGTAAGTGATAGATTTTTGACCAGTTTGAATAATTGAAAATAAAAGTGGTGCAGATTATTAGTGTGTATATATACACCACAGATAGATTGAAGCAATAGTGAGAAAGGGGAGTTTAGGCAGGATCTACAGGGACTGTTAAACAAGAGGCTATCAAGAGGAATGATGGCAATTGGAGTAGATCTGAATGGACACACAGGGCATTCAAGGCAAAAGTTTGAGCGGAATCATGGCAGACATAGATGGAACAATAGGAATTTTGAAGGAGAAGAGAGTTTGATATCGGCATCAGGCCTGAAATTTTGTATTGGCAAACACATTTTTGAAAAAGAAAGAGGACCAGCAAATAACATTTAAAAATAGAGGACACACAACACAAGTAGACTATATTTTGGTAGATGGAGAGCAAGTGAAAAGAATGAATAATTGTAATTGTACCAGGAGAATATGTTGTATCTCAAAGTTGGATAGTGATTACAGACATAAAATTAGAAGGATGTCTGAAAAAGATGCATCTCAGGATGGAGTTAAGGATCAAGTGGTGAAGGCTGAAGGAAGCTGAGAAGGAATTCCAGGGGACAGTTAAAATAAAGTGAAGTTTATATTAGGAGGATGAAGTTGATGTGGATGCAATCTGAGACAAGCTGACAAAGGCAATAAGAGAAAGAGGCAAGCAGATCTTCAAGAAATCAAAAGGTGGAAACTAATTGACAAGGAAGCATGATGATGGATGGATAAAGTACAAGGCATGATCAGAGAAAAGAAGAAACAATGTAAAACATGGCAAATAACAAGGGAGCCAATGGACTATGAAGAGTACAAAAAGGCAGAGAAGAGGCAAATATGTCAGTGTAAGGTTTACTGCCTGTGTGTGATTGTCGGGATGATTGAGAGGTCATGACAGTTGTGCATGGATGTGAAATACACAGTGAGACAACCTCACCATTCACTTTTTCCCATTTAATAAAATATTAAATGTTTTCTTACAAAAGTTAGTATCATTGTCTTTACAATTTTTTTTGGAAAAGTTCGTTTGAGAAAATGAGTCTAGAAAAAGTCCGAATATAGTGGTGAATGTATTCACTCAGACTTTCAGGGATTGTTTTCCAAAGGATTGATGACCCCAGGGTTTGGTGGTAAGTTCATATTTGAACAGGTTCTTGAGGTCAACTGCAAAGTTCTGTCATAGTTAGATGCTTGATCACTCAACATATGAAACATGGATGTTGTTAAATAGCGGGAGCATATTCTGGTGGATCACATATTGGTAAGAAAAAGGACAGATCTTGAAGATAGAACAAATTGTGGAGCAAAGAATGTCATGTCCTTGAAATGTGTGTTTTTATAGGGCTTCCCCCGTCTATTCCTTGTTCCAGTTGGTCTTCCCTCGTTTCCCAGCAACAATTTGAAATCTTTCAGGGTGCGGGAGAGGTCATCATTGACACTTAATCTGATCTCGATCATCTAAAATTTCTCTGAACTTTGAAATTTGAAATTGAAATTCTGATTTGATCATCTAAAATTTCTCCGAACTTTGAAATTCTGTAATTCTAGCATTTTGTTTTCCATTTTGATGAAAGGAACTTTTATTGTTTAAGCAAGACTTTAAGTCTTGTTGTTTTAATTTTGAAAAGTGAGAGCTTAACTGCCTTACTGGATATTCATCAAAAACATAAAATTTTGATTTCCATCTGGGACCTTACACCAGAATCTGAACGGAAGAGATGGCCACAAAATGATATTGTGAGGGTCAGAAAGTTTATGTTATAAACTTTATTCTTTTATAAATTTTAATTGAACTTTAAATGCAACTTTATAAAGATGGAACAAGTTATAAAAGGATTAAAAGAGAAAAGGGAAACATATAATCAATAAAATCTGGTTAAACCTCGTTCCCACGAGTTGGGTTCCTTGTTGAGATGAGTACAACTCTGTGTCACGATTGTGTCACCTGTCATCTCATTGGTCCAAGGAGATCGTCATCCCTGACGAAATCGGGGAAAGACCCGAAAAGAGGACTTCATATAAAAAGGACGGACACGATGAGTAAGGGGGTGGAAGTTATTATTTGATTGTGTGTGCGCGCCACGCTAAGATTTTCTCCGAGAGACTTTTCCTGTTTGTCAACCAACACCACCTCCTCCCCTACTGAACTCAAAGATATCAACAATTCATCTATTTAACTTCAAAGAGAACTGTGGGACTTTATTGCGGTTACTCGAACAGCAGAATAATATAAGGTATTTATCCTGCCCGTGCACTAATGTACGCTCTCTCTCCGCGTAAACTAATCGCAAACTTGATTGTAACTAGAAACCGGAAATGAGGAAATTGAACTAGAATGAACGCGATTCACGTAACTTATATGTAGCCAATACTAACATTGTAACCCTAAATTCTGATGTATAACTAACGTAGATTTAAAATAAATAAACAGTTATTTATGTTTAAACCATCTTTGAGTGCAGTTTCTTCCATTCTTCTCTCCGTTCACTCCATTCCGGGTCCAAAACTCATACATAACTACTTGTGCAAACTTGTAGTCTCTGTATCAACCTAAGGATACAGTGGTGTCATCTTGATGTGGTATTGAAGAGATACCAACCCAATGGTCACAATATACAAATTGGCAAGAAGGTGAGAAAAGAAAACTAGAGATGTAGAAGTGGTGGCCATGATAAAGGATGTGTAGAAGAAAAGGAGTTAAGGGAAAGATGGAGAAGGTACTTAACGAATGTGAATATTTTTATAGGCTATTTTATATAAATATTATCTTTATTTATTTATTTTTAATAAGTAAATCAGCTTTTCAAAAAGAGTGAAAAATTTTTGCTATCTAATTTTATTTTTTATTAAAGATGTTAATCTTAGATACATTGAACTAGTTACATGAAGAAAGGCCTGTACAACTTTAACTGACAGAAAGTCAATATTAGAAGATGAGAGATCACTAAAGCTAACAATTCTTCATAGGATGATTAATAATGTCACTAATATTTTATTATATTGATGTGGGACACCACTGACAAGTGTGCATGTGACCACATGTTCTCTTGAGGTTTAACACACACAGTTTATCTATGCCTTATGGATTAAAGTGAACAAAGGCCTCTTTAGGTTAGATAGTTGTATTTCCATTCTCTTGTATTTTACCTTCACTACATGTACTGTCATAAGTTAATAAAAGTACAAATATTACATTATCATATTTTCAGTTTCATTGCACTGTTCCAATTATTGATGATAAGTGTTTGTTTTTAAATTGTTTCTTAATTACTTTGTATATTATTATTTTTTTTTAAATAATACTTTACATAGTGACTTAATATATTTTCATTAGTTAAATTATATAGATCTTTTCTGTTTATTATGTATTCTGTTGTTTTATGTGAGAAGTACATAAGTACAATGATATGACAACTTTTGAATTTTTTAAAAATATGTTTTTATACAATCTCTCTACACACCAGTAAATATAAATAAAATACTCCTCAAATTTTTTAACCAGAGTGCTTCTATTTTTAGAATCGCGAACGTTTTCGTCACCCCTCCTGCGCTCTTCTTCAGGCTTTATCGAATAGGCCGTTACTGTTCAAATAAACATTTGATATGAATTTCTTCTGAACACTATCATGTGAAATCATTCTGTAGTTGTATTGCACATGCTCCGTAATCATCTCTTTAAATGCTGTTATCCATCAAAATCTGCCATGCTACAGATAGGGCCATTTGAATAGTAACGGCCTATTTGATAAAGCCTGAAGAAGAATCCAGAGGGGCGACGAAAACATTCGTGATTCTAAAAATAGAAGCACTCTGGTTAAAAGGTTTGAGGAGTATTTTATATATATGTTTTATTGAAGACAACCAGAAATTATTTTAAATTTTTATAATATGAAAATATTTTTAAACAATATTTTTATTTATATACATTAATAACTTAATTATCCATAAGTATTATATAAATGCTTAAAAATTAAAATTAACTTTTATTATAATAAATATTTTTTAGACATTGGATAGAATTAATGAAGATGACTGGTATTACTTTTGATTTAAACTATGCAAAATTTAACCTTGGAAATTTGTTTTCATTGAATTTATTATGTTATGAAGACAATATAAAAGAAATAGTTGAGAATGCAAAGAAGGAATTAAACATTGAAAAGGTTGTTGAAATTTAATTTTGTTTTAAAATTATTATTAGAGATTTTCACAAACTGAAACAGCATCATTTTTGTTTGCATTAAATAGTTACTGAAAATTTAGAAATTAAAAGTCCTGCTTCAACATTAATAATTCTTAATATTAATACAAAATTTGTTTTATATTCCATTCATAGTATTTTTAAAATTTCTATAAAGTAAAAAATAATTTTATATCTATGAAATAACCTATCATTATTTAGTTATAACAATTAGTTAGTAGACCATTAGTTAAAACATTCATGACATTCTATCAATTCCCTTCAAATTCTGTACACATTTTATGTTTACCTATAATTTAGCCTGAATGTAGTTAGGTTTTGCTAGTATTCCATATATCAGTAATAAAATTATCTACTAAACTGCCGAACGATCGCCTAAATATCTGGCTATTATATGGCTAATTAAATGATCAGAATAAAGTAATTTGTCATTAGAGGTAGGCGTTAGGCGCCATCTCTTAAGTAAATTAATAATTAAAATTAAATAAATAAATTATTAAATTAATTTTAGAATTTTCTGGAATAAAAGAACTGGCCCGGGACGGGGCTTGAACCCGCAACCTCCGCTTGCCGTGCGGTGCGCTTGCCAGTTACGCCACCCAGAGCAAGTCTTCGCTTCCAGAAATATATTAGATTAGATATAACCTTACTTGGTTAAATACATTAAATACATCACTGACTGGGGATGACTTCATCGCCCACGACCCCAATGGCACTCAGCCAGCTAACGTAACACCCGGCGAGGTATATATATATAAATAACAACATTCAAAGCCCGAATAGTATATCTACTAAACTGCCGAACGATCGCCTAAATATCTGGCTATTATATGGCTAATTAAATGATCAGAATAAAGTAATTTGTCATTAGAGGTAGGCGTTAGGTGCCATCTCTTAAGTAAANTCGTGGGCGATGAAGTTGTCCCCAGTCAGTGATGTATTTAACCAAGTAAGGTTATATCTAATCTAATATATTTCTGAAAGAGAAGACTTGCTTGGGGTCCGGGTGGCGTAACTGGCAAGTGCACCACACGGCAAGCGGAGGTTGCGGGTTCAAGCCCCGTCCCGGGTTAGTTCTTTTATTCCAGAAAATTCTAAAATTAATTTAATGATTTATTTATTTAATTTTAATAAAATTATCACAAAAACAGTACTGTTTTTATTTGTGAAATTCTGTGTTGTTTGGAAAATACATGTAAAGAAATAATGCAATTAATTCTGGTAAATATAGGAGAATGAAATCAAAAGATAACACAACATGATATCTGAAATGCTAGGTTATTTTTGCTATGAAGTTGTTCAGATAGTCAATTAAGATAAATAAATATTTTTTAATTATAAATTTTAATATAGTATAAATATATTTTGCAAATTTTATATTAAAATAATAATAATTATGTAGCTGTGTTATTTATTCTAGAGACTGGTTTTTTACAAAATTTAAAGGTGCTTTCATTGTTGCTTGTAGACTAACTATTTTCTTTATGTAAGTTTATTTATTTATTTTTTTTGTAGTTTCTTAGTTTTTCTGCTTGAATAAATATATAAGTATGACATTACCACCAAAAAAATTTTTGAGCATTGGAGTGGATTGCATGTAAAATGAGAGAGTGGCAGAAAAGGCTTGTGTATGATATTTTTCAAACAACTTAAAAGTATGTTCACTTGGAATGGTTGTGGGATTAGTTTTAGAAAGTTGTGAAGACCAAGAGAGTTTGAAGTAAGATTTTCCAACTGAATAGTCAGGATAAAGTTTTAGAATGATATATTCAATATAAAAATTGGGGGTAAATCCAATAGGAACTGTGGACATAATAAAGAAACATTGGGACATGACTTTGTCTGATTGCCATACAAGAAGGACTTGACCCAATATATCAATTGGGTTTTGTTTGAGGGGATAAAGTGGAGTTGTGCAGATCATCTTATCAGAAAGAAACATCTTATCTTATCTTATCTTAACATCTTATCTTATCTTATCTTAACATCTTATCTTATCTTATCTTAACATATTATCTTATCTTAGATCATCTTATCAGAAAGAAACATATTATAGGAAAAGTCCTAATAACAAACATCCTGTATAACGAACCAACTTAATTAATGAACTTTTCTTCAGGTCCTGACCATTTTCTATTTATTTATATGCATTTTTCATCTTCTATAAAGTAGTTTTGCTGATCCAATGGAAAATCATCTTAACTAGTGAATCAACCAAGTGTGAGAAAAGATCTATCAAGTGATCTTTTTTCCTTTGCTAATTACACATTTCAGTGTATTACTATTCTTGTATTTTCATTTTTGCATTTAGTCACGTGAGACAAATGCCATTAGATGTTCAATAATCTCAACACAAATTGCACAATTTCTACTTCACGTGTTGTCCTCCATCTTGGCATTTGAAACACTTGATTGACAGTGACTAAAGACCAGTTTTCATTTACAGAGAGGACAATTTATGTTTCTTTATCAAATTACATATTCATTCCACTAAATTTTGACGTACTATAGTGATTATCACACACTATTTATCCACTGGTAAGTACTGTGCAAATGTTATGTATGGAAAATTGCTCAATATTAACCAATTCATAAATTTGAATTCTGAAATTTTAATGCATACAGTTTTGAGGATTTTCTTTTTTACAATATCTTAGGTACAATGGCAGATAACAAACAAAAATGAAAACAACTTTCCATTATGCAGAAGCTGCAAATTTTGAAAGCAGTTGATACAGAGGAAAAGAAACTTGATCTTGTATTAAAATATGGGATTTCAAAATCAAGCCTGTCAAAAATACTTTCACAATGTGAAAAAAATTGAAAAAAATGCAATGTTAATAGGACCACATCAACTTAGAGGATGATCATACACAAATGATGAGCTTGACAAAAATCTTTTTGATTAGTTGATGGAAGCAAAAAACAATTCTGTTCCTGTCATTGATCCAATAATGCAACAAAAAGCACAAGAAGCAGAAACACTAGGAATGAATGATTTCAAGGTGTTGGATGGTTATGGAAGTTTAAGAAGAGATGGAATCTGACATCACTAAAGACAGCTGGAGAAGCAGATGGAGTGGACCCTGAAGTAGAAAATGATTGGACTTCAAAACTGCCAGAATTAGCATACAGTTATGAAGCAAGAAACATTTTTAATGCTGATGAGGCAGGACTATTTTTCAATATGCTCCCTGATAGAACACTAGTGTGAGAATACGGACGAGGGTCCAGGCCCTCTAATCGTCAGATCAGTTAGACCTGCTCACTTTGTCACTGGATGGCTTAATTTTTCTCAGAACCCGAGTGGTAAGATTCTGTGTGGGTTTGTGCATAAGAACAAATACCAGACTACGAAGGTTATATAATAAAAATTTGATAATTTAATTATAGAAGAATAAAATAACAAATACAAATAATAGAACAACAAAACATAAAACATCTGTCCAACTTAATACTAATAGGGACATTCCTATATAGAAGTTGATAATTTGATTAGAATTAACAATAACACTAGCAAACAATAATACAGATGTAGACTATGGAAAGACAGGAGTTATATCCTATCGCGAGACTAGGATCTATCTTAGATTTAACCCGAGAGAGAGAGAGAAGTTTACAATAAATTTTACCTCGTTGTTCATGTTGGGATCTTGTACCTTATAGATTCTCTTCCTGTAGAGTGGAGTTGGGAGGACAGGTTTAGTCGTTGGGGGAGTACTTTCTATGGCATGTTCGACTTCTATTGAACTGCCTCTCTATGGCAAGGTCCTGGGGAACTGCCCAGAGCATCTGAAAACCTGCCTCTTTATCCCTCTTTTCTGCACCATCATGATTATCCGAAATGATGTGTCATTCGATTAGATGGAGTGCAAAATTCTAAGATACGAGGCGTGGAGAAAGGAAGCAAAATATCCTCATTTCTTGTAAAAGCGCTACGTGACAGAGCGGTTTTACAGGATGTAAAGTTTATAACCTTATTAGGTTATGTTTTATTAATTATTCCAAATTTTATCATTCTTTTTATATAGTTGAGTGAAATTAAAGCAGAGTATTTATTACATTAAAATTTTTATACTAATTATCTCAAGAACACCGTCAGATTGTCACACTAGCACTTAAAGGGAAAACTTGCCATGGTGGAAAGTGCAGCAAAGAACACTTAAAAGTACTTTTTTTGTGCAAACAGTGATGGATCTGAAAAACTTTTACCACTTATGATAGATAAATATGCCAAGCCAAGATGCTTCAAAAATGTAAAACATATGCTGTGTACTTACAATGTTAAGTCACAGATGACAGCCTCACTTTTCAGGGAGTGGCTATTAGCACTTGATTCTAAAATACTGACCATGGACAGAAGATTCCTGCTGTTCATTGACTGTTGCAAGGCCCATAAAATGGATTATTTGAAAGTTAAAAACATTAAAGTGATCTTCCTTCTGCCATACTGTACCAGCTAGCTTCAGCCAATGGATCAAGGTGTAATCCCCTTAGTGAAGAACCATTACAGATGACAGCTTGTTCAGCATATGATTTGTTTCAAATGGAAGATGGAAATAAACTGGCAGTAGTAAAATGGAACATTTTACAGACTATGCAGCAATTATGTTCAATTTGGAATAGCATTGAAGTAGCCACTATTAAAAATTGTTTCAAAAAAGCTGGTTTTTCAGTTCAAGACAGATTTAATGAAAATTATGAAAGCATTAATGATGACTTTATCATGACTGGACAGAAGTAACCAGCATGTTATGTTTGGAAAATATGACATTTGATGATTTTGTTCAAATTGATGAAGTTGTGTTATATCATCAGAAGATAACAGTGAAATGGCTGAACATGGAGCTGCATTATCTCAAGTTGAAGATACTATGGAAGAGGAAAATGAGGTGGCTCTGCCAGTAAAGCTACTGAAAAGGTCTGAGATAAATGCTGCCCTTAATACATTAGACATGCTCATTCAAGCATCAAAAGAAGCAGATAAAGACATAAAAATATTTTTTGAAATAGAATCAGTGCACTTAAATTACTTAAAAAGCAAGAAAGGCAAGCAAATATTACTGAGTTTTTTGAGAAGAGTTCATAATACTGTATACAACAGTCAGATCATATATCTAAAACTTCATAGCTTTCCTTCACATAATTTTATATACATTGTAGCATGTTTGATTATGTTTAAAATATTTTCTTTTGTTTCTGTTTTTTAAATTTTGTATATTGTATATGTTTATTTAACTTAAATTTTATGTATATTCTGCAATATTCTATTTATTTAGAATTGTCAGAAATAAAATTTCTGACAATTCTAAATAAAGATCATCCTAATTAACAAACCACTGAGAATTTGGATCCTTGAAATTCATTAATTAGGACTTTTTCTGTAGTTGATTTTTTAAAAGTATTCTTTTGTGATGTCTAGCCTATCCTCTTCAGATCCATCTTACCTTACTATTCTTCTTCCTTTCTTCTTTCTTTCCCTTATGTGTGATGTCCTTATCTAAGATAAGTATAAAAAGCTAAAGTATTATTAATCAAGAAAAATATGATATTTAGTTTTCTAAATTTATGAAGTATTTCTTGATTAATAAATATTATAATCTGATCCATAATTTATAAGATTTAAAGTATTATTGTCAGTATTAACTATTTGTACACCATTACCCATACACATCAATAATTATTGGAATGTAACTGGAACTAAAAAAGATTTGTAGAGCAGAGTTTGGATGCTTGGAATTTAATCATATGTATGCCATAGAATATCAAGATAGTCTGTAACATGACATATCAATTATTTTGTATGCATTCATATTGGTGAAAATATACGTGTATTGTATTTGATTAGATTCTTAGTGTTTCTTTATGTGAAGTAATTTTCTTTTTAGCAAACAAAAATAAGGAACAATTTTTGAAATGTATCTCATTCATTGAGCAGTGTTTTTGTATTAAATTTCATAATCTGGCTGTAGTAATTACATTAAAATAAAAAGTTGTTTATTATATGATCAAGTTTTTGCCTATGTAGTGAGAAGTAATACATTGAATTCCTCTGTATCATTGACTGAAAGGCTCCCTGATATCATTCTCAGTTAGGTATGTTATTGTTGCAATAGTCAGTTTTATGACATTTATTCTTGTAACAAAAGCTTATTTTTTGCCAAAAGTCCTATGTGAGTTATCTTGTAGTTTGACATTAATACCATTAAACTGAATTTATTGACTTATTATACAGTATTATTTGTTTATGTATTTAAATAAAGTTATAAATATTTGTGAGGTTCCAGACAGAATCTGAATCTCTCATTAAATATACAAAAATTTGATTCATTTAAGAAAATAATGCGTTACAAAAAAATAGATCTGTCATGAAGATATAAAATAAACAGTATGGTCAACTTCATGAGATCATGGGTTGATGCAAACTAATGGGTTGGAATGTTTAGAATGTCAATTGGGAAAATTGATCTTTGACTCTCCTAGCTCGTAGATATGACAACATTTGGAAATAAATGAGGAAATGTAGCATTCCTTTAAAAGAAAAACTATTGTGTTGTAATAAAGATATTAAAAAATTTTTAGATGTCAGAAAAGAAAATATCATTATGTGAGATACGAGCAAAAGTTTCAAATGTGAAGCTCTGGAAGTGGGTCGAAATTCGTGCACAAAAAATGTTTTTAATTTCGTATGAAAAAAAAATTTAATAATAATAATTACTATTTTATATTGTAAAAAGAAACCATCAAATGCAAAATGAATATTTTATGTCCATATAAAGATGTATCTGTAGAAATTTCTGAGAAAAAATAAATTTCTCAGAATGAAACAATAGATGAATTTGAGTGCTTAGATCGAATTGTCAGTTGATGTTGACTCACCCGCGATCTGGGCTTCGATCTCGTTACAATTCATAATGGGGAAGGGGACCAATTAGAGAGTGGAGATAGATCAGCATCGACCTATCGGAATGTTTGATCTGGGACCCAGAAAAAACTTATAAAAACCACGCAAAAAAGGATGTGACTTTCTTGGTTCTTAGTTCGGTGTGCTTTGCTCCTGGATTTTTCCTGCAGTTCAACAACGGAAACTTGGTAGTCATTCCGGAAGAAGTTTTCGCCATCCTGTCCTGGCAAGTTTTACCAAGTGTATCCTGCTACGAGAATCACCCCTTCAAGTTGTGCTGTGCACCTGGAGCCTATGTTTTCTTCATCATCTTCGCCAGAAAAAGAGAAGATCATCGAAACAATTGAACTTTATTTGCAAACTGATTCACTCTTCGGATAGGCCTTATGCTGAAGTAAAACAGTAGCTATAAGTGAAATTTTTATATTTAATAAACAGTGTGCGATGGAGGACCAGTCTCAATAAGTTTTTCCACTCCCACGCTACAGTGCTGACCGCTTGATTGTCGTGACACTTTCTCCCCAATCGGCAGACCTCACACAAAGTTCATTCAACACTTGCAGATAAAGTCAAACAAAGATGTCAAATTGATTAATGGAGAATGATCTTTCCTGTGCCTGATCTAGTCATCTAATCTCACTCGGAAACAGGAAAGGGACCAATCAGGAGGTGGAGAGAGAAAATCAGGAAAATCAAATTAAGAATTTTGAGGATAAATCCTTTAAAAACCCCAAAATTCAAGGACAAAATGTGGTTGATTCTCCCTTGCTCAACCTGTTTCTCCTCTATGTCAGTTTTTTTCTCGTCTTGGACTTTATCTTCATCACTTCATCTTCATTCTGCCAAACTACATCTCACCTCCAGCCAGTCTACCCCAGAGATGTCTGATCACCAATTGAAACTCCATCTGATCATTGATCAAAACTCTAACACATTGTTATTGGATAACCAATGAACTATAGACTGAACTTAAACATTTGTTTCAGTCATATAGAAGTTTTCAACTAGCATTATATAAGCATTATCTTCCAAATAAATAACTTTGAATTTTAAAGGTGCCTTTATCTCAATGTTGAAAACCACACCCATATTACACTCACATTTCTTGTTCATCTTGACAAGAAGATGGATTAACCTTTTCCTTCCTCTCTGTTGGCAATCTTACATATTTAATAAAACTTATGTAATAGTTTTTGTTTTAAGAAGCCAAACACTAATTCAAGTGATTTATTTTATTTAGGGATATGAATTCTTTGTCCATTTTCAGTCTCTTTTACTTTTATTATAATATTTTAAGATTTATCCCTAAATAAAAGAGATTATTTGAGTTGGAGTATGGCTTTCCAAAAGAAAAACTATTACACAAATTTTATTAAACATAAAAAAGGAAGTGACTGAAAAAAAGATAAAGGAAGTTATAAATATTTATAGTTTCTATTTCCTTATTTTATTTTGCATTATTATCTACTTAAACTTTTTATTACGTACATAATTGTATGTTTGTTTATATAACTTGATCAATAAGTAAGATATTTAATATTTAAAAATGAAATTGAATCATTTTACAGAATGTGCAAACAAAAGAATTGTAAAATTGTTTAAAAAGAATGTAGAATTTTTAGTTTTAATTTTTTGTAATATTTTCCTAAGCATAATATTAATGATGATGAGAAATATGTTTCTAAATGCACTTAGATTTTGAAGTTAATTAAAGAATTGACTTTAAAATGAGGTTTTTTAATTTTTAGTATTTGTTTTATAATTTTACATTTACTGAAAATCTTATTTTTCAATATTTAATTTTTCTAGGAAGTACAAGAAATAAAACAGTTATGGGATCAAATGAATTTTCAAATAAAAAGATATTTTAAAGGAACAGAAGATAGAGGACATATTCTGATGGGAGTTGATAAAATTCTACAAGCATTAGATGATAATGCAATAAGTTTACAAATGATGTCTTCTTCAAGATTTGTAGGTCCATTTTTATCAATTGTTCAAGAATGGGAAAATATTTTGTCTCATATAAGTGAGGTTTTGGAGGTAATATTCAGAAAAATTTATTATTAATTTATATTTTAAATTGTTTTAAATACTTTTTAGATATTAATTATTGAAATTATAATTAGAAACTTAAATTTGAATATTTGCAATTTAATAACATTTAAAATATGAGTAAATTGTTGAACTATTTTATTTTGTCAAATAAAATGACATTACAATATTTAGTTTCTATGAATTTCCTGATATTATAATTTTTACACAAGATTCATTGATAATTGAAAAATTTTGATGTTAAAAAAACTATTTATATGTTAAGAATATTAAGTAATAAATTTGATGTAAACAAAATTAATAAAAATTTTGTTTCTTCTACTTTTAAATTTAAAATTTGATAACTGAACATTAATTAGAACCATTGTAATAATAACAAAACAAACTGCTAAAGTTGAGATTACCAAAAATATTTAATTAGAAATGTTTTGATCTTGATTTACTTTATCTTCAGCTACATTTACATTATCTTGATTCATATTATCTTTAGTTGTGATACTGGCAATTAGAATATGCTAAAGAGGAGCCATAAAGTGCTTCCTTTAAGCGAAAATATAAAAATTCTTGACATAATAAGGAAAGAAAAAAGCAAAGAAAAGAAAAGAAAAAAGAAATTTCTTACTACAGTAGAGCGTCGATTTTCCGAAAGTCAATCATCCGAAACGTCAATCATCCGTAAGAATTCCAGTCGGCAGATTTAAATTTTCACCAGTGCTGTGGCGCTTCAATCTTTGGCTATGTCTTGGGCTATTCAAATATTTTACGTTTTTGATACTAAATTAACATCTAAAGTATAATTTTTTATTGTTTTTATATTTTTCAATATATTTATTTTGTTTGTACAAAATAAAAAAATAATTTTTAACGATACAATAGTCTTTGTTAGGCTTAACATCGACGAAATTCAACGCAAAGCGACACGCAACGGATAAAAATTTTAACATCGGATACGTTAAACTATTTTTTCGTACATAAATCGGTTATCCGAAATATCAGTTATACGAACAACCCCAGTCTCCAATTGATTCGGAAAATCGACGCTCTACTGTATGTTTAATTCATAAATTAATCATAACACAGGTATGTATAAACAGGAAAATTTTAATATTGTAATTCCTTTAGCATGAGACCAGTTAGATGGGAATTATATATATAATGTGATGAACTTATCCTGCTTAGTAAGGGGACATGAATTGACAATATCACTATATACATTCACTGTTCCTCCCTCATGGGTTAACTGCTATCAAGTTCCCACCTCCAGGCCTTTCAATCTATACACTAATTTACATGTAAATAATGTGTTAAATGAATCTTGGTTTCAATCAATTTTCTCTCCTTCTCCCCTTTTTCCTGTTAGGGAGCTGATTCTAAAGCACTGTTCTTAAGAGAGTCTAACCCTTTCAATATATATATGAATACATATATATCTTAGAGTATTTTGATACTGTGGGGACCAGGGGCTGTCAAAAGTTAGTTTATGTTAGATTGGGGTAGGGTCCTGCCACCAGGTGTGTTTTATCAGACACACCGCCGATTCAGTCAAAACCCAATAGTTAAGGCGCGAGGGTAAGAGTCACTCTGAAGTTCGGGAATGAGCCTCTCAAGAGGATGAATGCAAAGTCAAATACAAATAACAAGCATTTATTATCAAAAATTAAGTTCATAACATTCTTAAAATCCGATTCAAGAAATCTGCCTATTTCTATCTATAAAATGAGGGGGCTGCCTAACAGGGGTTATCCGAACTACAACATACCAGGAAAAAGAGAGCATCTTCTCTTGTAAGTCCAGTCAGTCTCCTGATCTAGTTCTTTCTTTCCTTTTGCTTGGTCTTTCACTGATGTCTGCCGGTAAATGGCATTCGCTTCTAGACGAAATTTTTTTGCGATTATGGCAGGATGGGTCCACTCAAGTCTACTGTTGATGTCTGCCATTGATGCCTTCCTTGTATGGGATGGTTCATTGAGAGTCTGAAGAGGCCGGTGTTTTCTACCGTTGTCTGCCGAGGAGCTCTCTCGGTGCCTGGATTTGTGCCTCTTTTATACGCTTTTCAGAGCAGGAGAGTTATGATATGGCTTACTATTGTATTGGTTTGACTTTTGAGCTGAGTCATTACATAAGCAAAACTGTTTTAACTAGTTTCTTGACTTTATATGGTGATAGTGCCGAACTATATGGATGTCATCACTGACAAATCCCATCATTATTCATCGCTTGTTTTGGTTACTGTTGTGCCTTGAAACGATGTTCAATAAAGAATTGACTTTAAAATGAGGTTTTTTAATTTTTAGTATTTGTTTTATAATTTTACATTTACTGAAAATCTTATTTTTCAATATTTAATTTTTCTAGGAAGTACAAGAAATAAAACAGTTATGGGATCAAATGAATTTTCAAATAAAAAGATATTTTAAAGGAACAGAAGATAGAGGACATATTCTGATGGGAGTTGATAAAATTCTACAAGCATTAGATGATAATGCAATAAGTTTACAAATGATGTCTTCTTCAAGATTTGTAGGTCCATTTTTATCAATTGTTCAAGAATGGGAAAATATTTTGTCTCATATAAGTGAGGTTTTGGAGGTAATATTCAGAAAAATTTATTATTAATTTATATTTTAAATTGTTTTAAATACTTTTTAGATATTAATTATTGAAATTATAATTAGAAACTTAAATTTGAATATTTGCAATTTAATAACATTTAAAATATGAGTAAATTGTTGAACTATTTTATTTTGTCAAATAAAATGACATTACAATATTTAGTTTCTATGAATTTCCTGATATTATAATTTTTACACAAGATTCATTGATAATTGAAAAATTTTGATGTTAAAAAAACTATTTATATGTTAAGAATATTAAGTAATAAATTTGATGTAAACAAAATTAATAAAAATTTTGTTTCTTCTACTTTTAAATTTAAAATTTGATAACTGAACATTAATTAGAACCATTGTAATAATAACAAAACAAACTGCTAAAGTTGAGATTACCAAAAATATTTAATTAGAAATGTTTTGATCTTGATTTACTTTATCTTCAGCTACATTTACATTATCTTGATTCATATTATCTTTAGTTGTGATACTGGCAATTAGAATATGCTAAAGAGGAGCCATAAAGTGCTTCCTTTAAGCGAAAATATAAAAATTCTTGACATAATAAGGAAAGAAAAAAGCAAAGAAAAGAAAAGAAAAAAGAAATTTCTTACTACAGTAGAGCGTCGATTTTCCGAAAGTCAATCATCCGAAACGTCAATCATCCGTAAGAATTCCAGTCGGCAGATTTAAATTTTCACCAGTGCTGTGGCGCTTCAATCTTTGGCTATGTCTTGGGCTATTCAAATATTTTACGTTTTTGATACTAAATTAACATCTAAAGTATAATTTTTTATTGTTTTTATATTTTTCAATATATTTATTTTGTTTGTACAAAATAAAAAAATAATTTTTAACGATACAATAGTCTTTGTTAGGCTTAACATCGACGAAATTCAACGCAAAGCGACACGCAACGGATAAAAATTTTAACATCGGATACGTTAAACTATTTTTTCGTACATAAATCGGTTATCCGAAATATCAGTTATACGAACAACCCCAGTCTCCAATTGATTCGGAAAATCGACGCTCTACTGTATGTTTAATTCATAAATTAATCATAACACAGGTATGTATAAACAGGAAAATTTTAATATTGTAATTCCTTTAGCATGAGACCAGTTAGATGGGAATTATATATATAATGTGATGAACTTATCCTGCTTAGTAAGGGGACATGAATTGACAATATCACTATATACATTCACTGTTCCTCCCTCATGGGTTAACTGCTATCAAGTTCCCACCTCCAGGCCTTTCAATCTATACACTAATTTACATGTAAATAATGTGTTAAATGAATCTTGGTTTCAATCAATTTTCTCTCCTTCTCCCCTTTTTCCTGTTAGGGAGCTGATTCTAAAGCACTGTTCTTAAGAGAGTCTAACCCTTTCAATATATATATGAATACATATATATCTTAGAGTATTTTGATACTGTGGGGACCAGGGGCTGTCAAAAGTTAGTTTATGTTAGATTGGGGTAGGGTCCTGCCACCAGGTGTGTTTTATCAGACACACCGCCGATTCAGTCAAAACCCAATAGTTAAGGCGCGAGGGTAAGAGTCACTCTGAAGTTCGGGAATGAGCCTCTCAAGAGGATGAATGCAAAGTCAAATACAAATAACAAGCATTTATTATCAAAAATTAAGTTCATAACATTCTTAAAATCCGATTCAAGAAATCTGCCTATTTCTATCTATAAAATGAGGGGGCTGCCTAACAGGGGTTATCCGAACTACAACATACCAGGAAAAAGAGAGCATCTTCTCTTGTAAGTCCAGTCAGTCTCCTGATCTAGTTCTTTCTTTCCTTTTGCTTGGTCTTTCACTGATGTCTGCCGGTAAATGGCATTCGCTTCTAGACGAAATTTTTTTGCGATTATGGCAGGATGGGTCCACTCAAGTCTACTGTTGATGTCTGCCATTGATGCCTTCCTTGTATGGGATGGTTCATTGAGAGTCTGAAGAGGCCGGTGTTTTCTACCGTTGTCTGCCGAGGAGCTCTCTCGGTGCCTGGATTTGTGCCTCTTTTATACGCTTTTCAGAGCAGGAGAGTTATGATATGGCTTACTATTGTATTGGTTTGACTTTTGAGCTGAGTCATTACATAAGCAAAACTGTTTTAACTAGTTTCTTGACTTTATATGGTGATAGTGCCGAACTATATGGATGTCATCACTGACAAATCCCATCATTATTCATCGCTTGTTTTGGTTACTGTTGTGCCTTGAAACGATGTTCAATCTCTGCTATGATCGGGGGGCATAAAGTGGTGTTTTCCCACTTTCTTTAAGTTTTATTCTCTTACAAATTTATTTAATTACTTAATTGTCTTCTCATCCTTTTCCTCGCATGTTGTGAGATTTATTGCCATTAATTAATATTCTAAGTTGTTTCTCTAAATCTTTCTAAAAGTTGATATTATTGGAAATTTCTGTAGGGAAGTCCCTAGAATCGGAAAAATAGACAAATTTCCTCCTACACTTCGATCCATGTATAAACAATCTCGGTATCTTCAAGATGTGGGTTCAAAAGAAAAAGGATATAAAATAATTACAATGTTTAAATACAATAAAATCTCTAACTAATTAATTAAAGTGACAACAAAGTGGCTAAACTAAGATTATTACAGATAACGTAAATACGTAAATAACAAATTCACAAATACATACACACACACACACACACACACACACACACATATATATATATATACAACAAATTTTGATGGGGGGATTATTATCCTGGGTCTTCACAATACCCAGGATAATAAGCCCTTTGTCCTTTTCCTGCATGTGCTTACCTTTCATTCTTTAATGATCTCCTTCACCCACTTAGTGATAATGTCTGATGAGATGAAGTCCAACAAGAGAAAAGTTTGCCGTCACACCAATTCTCTCATTTTTATACCTTCATAGACATCACCTTTTTCTTTTCACCAATTGGCACTTTCCAAAAATGGTCCAGTTGAATTTATTCAGATATGTACAGTACCTGAAAAGGTAAGACCATTATTGCCTCCAGCATTAAGTATGAATGAGACATTGTAAAAACCATGGCAAGAACAATACAATAAACATTCAAACATGGGATGGATGTACCATTATATATATATATAATGGTACATCCATATATATCCATATATATATAGTTTGGTACTACACTATCTGTGGTTTCAGGTATCCATTCAAGGGATCTTGGAACATATCTCCTGTGGATAAGGATGCTACTGTATAATAACTTTAATATATTAAAGATTTTCAACAGATTTTTAGGAATACAAGTATAACAAAATTTTGAATTTAACAAGATAAGAATGATGATAAAATAGAACACATAAATTAAATCAAATATTTTGTTCTCATAAATATTGTAAGCACTCTTTATAACAAATATTTCATCTCATAAGTGGGGAAGAGAGATTCAAGAAAACAGCTTGTATTAAAATTTCTTATATTGAGTATGAATAAGTGTTGTTTGTATTTAGTGAAAAGTTTATGTCTATTGATAAATTCAGTTACTTTCTACTTTTAATTTACCAGAATAAATTCAAAAGATGTGGATATCAATTAAAGAAACAAATTTATTTTATTGAAATTCATTTTTGTTAGATATGGATAATGGTACAGAAGAAATGGATTTATTTAGAAGGTATATTTAATGAAAGTGATATAGTGATTAGATTACATGAACAAACAGAAAAGTTTCAAAAGATTAATTCAAGTTTCCAAAAGGTAATTTATTTACTTACAGAAATTCTGAATTTACAACATAATTACTAAAATTTTAATTATTTTGCTAATAATTGTTATTTATATAAAGAAAACTAATTATAAATGTTAATGGAAATTAAAATTTATTTACATAAAAAAAGTTTATCTTAAAACTTCTCCAGTTATTTAAGGTAGTAGCATCACTGCCTCAATATTAATAAAGTTAGTTAGTTGTTTTTTTTTCTTGGCATGTTAAATTGTTTCAGTTTTATCATAGTATAATGGCTTCTCCCGTAGGGGTGAATTTGTGAGTGCAACTTAAAATTGGTGTATAACCTGTCCATCATATGACCCACATATTGTTTCAAATTGTCTTTTAAACACAGATAACTTGTGGGTTATATGCAGAAAAAATGCAGTACATAAATAATTCAACATAACTCATTGGAATGAATTTGAATACTGTACAAAATATCTTTGATAAATTTTATAAATTAAATTACTTTAAGCATTTTAACTAATATTGAAAACGAAAAAAAGAACACTATCATTTATATAAGTTTTTTTTTTATTTCTCTATACTAAACATTTTTCAAGTCATCCAGCTCATCATCAGATACAACAAATTATTGAGTGCTAATAGCAGAATGTGTAGAGGTTATCATGCATGCAAACTTTTCCCTGCTAATTACCTGCCAATGGCATAGACAGATACAGGGTTCTGTAACGAGTCATCCATCTGTCTCTGGATGGTGGACAAAGATGCCATTGCATTTGTTTGTGTTTGTACATGAACAGACCATCATCTCTCCTAGAAGTCTACAGTATATGGGGAATTTAGAGCCTATTCATTATATATGTATGTGTGTCTCAGGGCTTCCACACCTTGTCACAGTTGGGTCAGAACAGCCCAGATGGTGGGCAATTTGGCAAAACATTCTGCTTCCCTCAGCTTCAAGATGTGGTCTTTGTCAAACTTCAGCTAAAAGTAATGTCTGACTGTATTGTACAGTCAAACATATAATGCTGAAAGTTCTCTGAAAATTCTGAGCATGGCACTTTTGAGCTGTTTTATAGGATACTGGAGTAATGATTTTGGGGAACTACCTAGTGTGCAATTGGACCATGACTGCAATAATTTACATACTGTTTGAGACTTAGCTCTATGCAGAGTTTTGCAGTAATTGGACAATTTTATCTGGGTGCATGACTTTTTTATCAATGAGCATGTATTAAATTATAGGTGCTAAAGATGGTTCAGTTGCAAAGATGAAAATAGTTTTACCACATATTATTTATTTTTCTATTGAAAAAACTAAATAATGATATATAGTAAGCACTGTTCCTATTCAATGTTAACTAAAGATATTTTATTGTTTATAAAAGTAATGATGAATAATTTTAAGTTTAGTTGTAGTGTTTATTTAATTCACTATTTTAATTCTTTTTTTATTATTAGATAATGCATGACACTTCAAAACAACCAAATATAAAGATTGCTTGTCATGTTTCAAATCGTTATGAAGAATTACAAGAAATATTTAATGGACTCAACGAATGTCAGAATTCATTAAATAATTTTTTACATGAAAAACGAAATGCATTTCCACGATTTTTTTTCCTTGCAGATGATGAATTACTTTCAGTTTTAGGTTCAGCTGATTCTAAAGTCTTTCAAGAACATTTAATAAAGGTAAACTTTTCACTATGCAAATATCTAACAATAAAAAACTAGAATAATTTCATAATTGAAATACATCACAAATATATTATTACAATAAAAAATTAATGTTTGGATGCTACATGTAGGAATAGTGATAGAAATATAGAGAACTAGAAATGACAATAATCTCCCAGCATTCAGCTAAATATCCAGCCGTCTTTGAACCGTCTTATGGATAGAACGATAATGTTTTGGCCTTCGTAATGTCTTTTTGTCCTTTTCATGCCATCACCAACTGTCATCTCCTCTTACTTTTGTCACTCACATGTTCTGCCACATTACCTTGCAACTCCTCGTCTATTGTCTCAACGGTGTCAGAATGTCACTCATCTGACCCCCACATGTCTCTCTCTCTTGTTCTCCTCGTCTCCCCTGCAACCCCTTGTTTATTGTCTTAATGGTTTAGGAATGTTGCTCATCTAAACCCCACATACATAATATTTATTTGATATATTTATGTTATTTATAAAATTTAAAAATGCGCAAAAGGAAAAATATGTTTTTCTATATTAACATAACTATTTTGGACAGTAGAACATAGCATCAATTTTCAGTGTTAGAAACTAAGGAGTAAATTTTAGGTTAAATTTTGGTACTTCTTTCACTCTGATATATTTTAATTTTTTTGTTTGTTAAATTATACAGAATTGTCATCAAAAAGCACAAAATTTTTTAATTTTTGGTTTTAAAATGATTCTTATTTAACTACTAATAACAAATAAAAATCAACAGAAATGAAATTGGGATGATGCCTCTAACACTTGTTACATTTATTTAATGTGTCCTCCACCATTCTGAATGTGGCACATAAAATTATAGACAGCATGTTTTAATTGATCAGAACTGATTAATTAAATTCAACTGATTTGAAAATAAAAAGATGAAGGAATGCCAAGTGATCAATTAATTACACTACATAGTGTTTAAGCAACAAATAAGAATTATGACATGTTTCAGATTGTCAAAAAAAGTTTATCATTGATTGATTACTTCAAATCAACTAATGATCTTAGGCCAGAGGTATGTTATGCTTGCCAAAAATGGCATATTGGGAGAAATCATATGGCACGTAATGTATCATATGATCTCAGTTTATCACTTATCTTTTTCAATTATCCTTTTGATTTATCACCTGATCATTCTTTTTACTATCAGCTTCTTTACATTTATTCTAACTAAAGAATATTCATTTCATTTCATTGAATATCATTATTTGAAGTTTAAAAGTTTAGCATGCATAAACATTTTTAAAGATAAGTATGTTTACTACACAGGCAGGTTTGTCATCTTTGAACTAAACAATATTTTATAAATTCATTTTTTAAGATAGCACATCATAAGTGGTAATCACAAGGGTTTAACTTGTGATTACCACTTATGATCTGAATTTTAAATGTGGAGGCCATTTGATTGCTAGATTTTTCTGATAAGGTTATTACCAAATGTTTCACTTAATAACATTGTTACAGGCCAATAGCTTTGTCATGTCAAAGTGATATGTCCAATCTTTTCCTTTGTATCAAGTTCTAGAATTACAAAATTGTTCAACAATTCTGTATACTTTTTTCTGTAATTGTTACTATTTTAAGCAATTTGTTTTACTCTTTTTTAAAGAAATAGAGGCCAATGAGAAATTGTAAGTTTACACCATATTGCCAAGATATTTTGAAGTAGCTATCAACAAAGGCATATGAATTTTCAGATATCAAAATAACTTAATTATGGGTATTAATAGTTCCATGGAGGTAAAAATGCACTTTTTCAGATGAAAGGAATGTTAATTCAGCCATAATCATCACTGAATATTGAAAAGCAGATGTTTGCAAACTCAATTCTGCTTTCATAATCATGTGATGATTATGATGATTTTTTTTCTTGATAGATTCTAAGGACTTTATTTGCATTAAATCTATTTTGATAGGTGCAAATAGTAAGTTTGATCCTTTCCTGAAAAAAGTCATTTTTTTAGCTTAAATGCATTTGCACTCTAACATTTTTAATACCAGGCCTAATATGCATATATAACATTTCCCAAAAATTTGCATACATTTTCATTTCTTTAGCATTAGATAGATATTTATACTTTTTAATATTTAAACATTTTGTGTTATTTTATGACCAACCTGTACTAAATATTTAACTTAAGATATTATACTCATTTTTCAGCTAATTATTTAACTGATTATATTTTGGTAGAAAAAGCAATTTTTATTTACTGTGTATGATAAGATTCAAATATATTTAATTCAAACTTGTTTATTATTTTACTTACATTTAGTATATTATTTTGATTTAAACATTTCTTATTTGAAGATTTTTATATATGTCATATATATAAGCTAATTTTATTTTCATAATTAATTTAAATGTTATAGAAAATATATTTGATTAAGTACTGTACACTACTCAAAAGTGAAATTGCAACACCACAAAGGAATGCATGTAGCCACAGAGATGACAGAAATATACAAATGATTAAAAGAACAAAGTTATACAACAGACACCTGTTTATTCAGCAATGAATATAACTTCCCATAGGCAGCTATACAGGCTGCTATACAGCAAAGCATACTATCAATGAGGCAATTAATGGTTACCTGAGGTATTTCTTGTCAAGCTTTGACATGCATGTCATCTACAGTATGTGGTGTGGTTTCTGATGCACCTCAGATGGGATGAGGTCTCAGGGGTATTTGATGGAAGAGAGATCTGGTGAGGCTGTCGACCAGGAAAGGATGTGAATTCTGTTCAGGCTGGTGAGAATTTGCCATGTGATCTGTGGTATGGCATTGTCTTGTTGGAACAACTGTGACAGGAAGCCTGCATCAGTGGCTGAACCACAGGCCCCCACAATTTGTGTGATGTACTGGTTTGCTCTCAGAGCACTGGAAATGTGCACCAGATTGGTTGCTGATTGAACATGATGCCTCCCCAAAGCATGATGCTTGGTGTGGGCTGGTATGATGTTTAGCAAACAGGGATAGCACATAGTGTTTCCTAGGATACCTCCACATACCCTGTCCACAGCTGTCATTCCTCCACAAACAGAAATGGGATTCATCTGTATATAATACCTAATGCCATTCAGTGGTCCAATTGTAATGATGACAACACCATGCCAGGCATGCAGCCTTGTGTTGAACAGTTAATGGCACCCCTGTTGCTGATTGCCTTGTTGCTTGATTGCCATGTGTTGAATCAATTAATAAAGTAAAAAAAAATTTATTGATCTTGGGGAGGTCTTATACTTTCTCACCTTTACACAGTCTACACATGTTCTACTTTTTAGGCACAGTTGCTACATGATGCAAAGAGTTGCAATCAAATATTACCAGAAATGGCAATTCCTTTTTAGTACATTGGTTTCTTGGGATTTTAGTTCTCCTTGGGTAGTTTTTTTTTGCATTAGTGTCTTCTTAGATAGCTTAGTTCTCCTGAGATAAGTTATTTCTCCATCTTTGCTCAGGCACATCACATAGGTATCCTTTAGCAATAGCATGGAAATACCTTTCTGGATATACCTTTCAATATGAATTACTGATGATTCGACAACAATGATAATGACTATGATGACCTCCCTTTCAGGTCATGATCTTTCCTCTTTGTAGACTCAGGTTTTGTGAATCTTAGCCAATCTGGCTTTGATTTAATGACTTACTTTTACTACAGGAAGGCACTCAATGTTTATTCAAACCATGAGGATGTTGATATTTTTTGATACTTTTGATGGCAACCTTTTTTGGCAGGGTTATAATTATGTCATGGTAGAATTAAAAATCCAGATCTTATAATTTCAATTTTATATGAAAATTTTGAATACATTATAGTTTTTTAAAATGGCATTTGTCTGAAAAATATTAAAGTTTAGATTAATGATTAATCAATCAGATTTATTTATTTATTGATATTATTTTTATCTTAATTTCTAGATGTTTGACAGTATACATAAATTGAAAATACAAGCTGAACAAACTGGAACTGATACAATTGAAAAAACTGTTACTGCATTAATTTCAAAAGAAAATGAAATAGTCGAATTTAGGAAATCTATACAAATTACTAACAAGGTTGAACAATGGATTAATAATTTATTAAATGAAACACGATTATCTATTAAATTCTTAATAAAAAGAGCTATTTATGAATATGGGAAAATGCTTAAATGTAACATTAAATGGCTGTTTGATTATCAAGGAATGATATGCATTACAGCTAAGCAGGTAAAGTAAAAAAAATTATAGTATAATAAATTATATCAGTAAAATAATATTTTAATTTATGTATAAAATAGCTTTGAGAATGTTATGAGAATTAAAAGTTAATATATAAAGTTAGATAGATATTTTTAAAATATTTAGAAAGTCTGAAAATTTTGCAGAATACAATTATAATCTGAAAGTATTGTATCAGAGATAAAAAAAAAAAATCAGCTACTTTACATAAATTTAATTTTATAAATATTATAAAAGTTTAATTTGATCTAGAAACTGAAATGATGAAATTATAGAGATATTTATATAATTTTAATTACACTATAATTATAAATAAATTGCAAATATTATTGAAACATCTTTTATTTTATTAATTTATAATCAATTCAATTTTACTAAAGATTTGGTGGACTGCTGCTATTGAACATATTTTTGAAGAAACTAAAAATGATAAAAAGTTAGAAATGAAAAATTTTTCAGAAAATCTTCATAAAGAAATTAATGATATTATTTCACAGGTAAGTAGACTTTTGAAAACAAAAATTTTATACAATGAAAATTTTTTGTTTTTAATAATTGTTATAACATATTGATTGTTGGCTTTTACATTGTAAATAAAGTAAGGTGATGTAGAATTATAAAATGATGAATACTTTAATAAATTCGAATTAAAGGAAATTATATTTAATTAAACAAACAAAATACACATATAAGCAACTACATATTTCAGCACATTGATGGGGGTACAAAAAAGCCATTCATAAAATCAACAAGATTATATTACTACAGAACAGAGTAGAATGCAAACCTTAAATCAACCTACCAAATAAATATTTAATATTAACAAATGAAACCTGCAATGCCATTTGTTAATATTATTGTTAATAATTCATAATGTTGTAAATGTCATTTTTTCTTCAAATATTTTTTATTGAAGAAATGAATTCTAAATGCAATGCTTTCTGCTGGAAAGAAAATATTGTGGTGATAGTGACACTGTAATGGCTATATCTTGAAGTTGAATTTATATGCAAATCATAACATTTTAAGCACCAAAATGCAAGTCACGTGACTTTTGGTACTTAAAACATTACGGCTTATGTTTTCATCATTTTGTTATTCCAGAGAATTTGTAACCTAGTGAGTTTTTTACTATTTTATTGTAAAATTGAAACAAATTCCTTCAAAACTTGAAGGAATTCAGTCAATATCCAGTCTAATACCCTATTCACACTGTACATTTTAAGCGGGATTAAGGTTTAAGCAGAATTAAGTTAAGTCACATTGCCAAAAACAAGATTAACTACTTGTTCACACTAGGTAATTAAAGCAAATTATTCGCTTAGCCCTCAAGCAGGTGTACTCAATATACATTTTAAATAAAATTAAACTTTTGCTTATTTTTGATAAATCATCATAAAGTAATTTATAGTTAGAAATTTAAAATATAAATAACTTATTTAAAATGCATAAGACATTAGTTAGGTATTATTAACATTTATTATCAGTGATGATGTTGTCGTTGGCAGCACAATTCTCTCAATGTTTATATCACTTTAGTGACAGAACTGAGATAAGAATGGATTCTCGACAGAAATTTATATTATTATTATTTAAACTTCTTGTACTGAAGCAGCGTATACATGCTATCAGAGAAGAGTATCATTTGTTCGAACATTTGTACATCTGCTTCTACTATTAGTTTTGAACTTGTGGTGGACCTCGAAAGCTTAAGCTTTCCTCGAGGTCCACTTAAGCTTAAGTGACTTAAGCTTATTTGAGAAAGCGATTTAAGCTGAGCTGGTTGTTGGTAGTTAAACTGGTTTAACGTTAGGTCAGTTTTGTTCATATTTCATACCTTAAGTTGGCTTAGTCATTTAAGCTGGCTTAAAATATACAGTGTGAATAGGGTATAACATTTTCTAGTGAATTTATTCACTAGAAAATGAATATGTTAGATTGGATGTTGCTTTTCAGAGATTAGGAAAACTGGTTAGACTCACGTAACTGGTTACATGACAAAGGAACAAGATAACACAAAAGATAACACTGATTTGACTCACAGAAAGTCAACATTGAAAAAAAGGGGGGAGAGTAAAACGAGGTCACCGTCATCAATGGTTCCCTGAGAGGTCAATTGCACCACCAACCTTTTATTATGTAATAGGAAAAATACTTACAAACATCACCACAACACAATACATTGTATGTATCGATAGCATAAAATATTTAACAATAACTTCAATCATTGATTCCAACAGAAAAAGTGCTTTTTATCTCTCCTGAAAAGTTACTTTTTGCATTTACAACATTATGGAATTACATACTTCAAATATTTTGATGAATTTACATTAAATTTTAGTTAATTTTATAAATAATAATGAATACTTTTCTGTTGTAAAGATTTCTTCTGGCTCCATTATTGAAATTAATTAACTTTAATGATGGAAGTTTTAACCTATTTATTAATCTATAATATTTTTATACATTATTTCTTCATTTTTAGTGGCTATTATTAAATGTTCTATAACTGATAAATGATAAAAGAATGAAAATCTTTTGAAGACAAAGAAATAACATCTTTCTTAATGGATAATTCTGAAAAACCTAGATTTTTTAGATTGCAATAAAACAGAATAGAAAAATAGAAAATTAATTTTATATAACTTTGTTCTAACAATTTTGTTTCAAATATTATAATTATTTTATTATTATTTATAAAATTAAGTGAAGATAATCAAACTTTGATCGAAACTATTTCTTTCAATAAAGTTCCATTTTAGTAGTTTTTGTTTAGTTAATTATTCCTCAGCTGAGATAATTTACATTGAGTTTGATGATAATTTTATTGAAGTTGTGATGAAAAGATCTTTAATTCTGACAAAATGAAAAGAGATATTTCAAACGGCTAATGTATTGAATACAGTCGACCCCCCCTATAACACGGTAGATACGTTCCGTTCTTTATGAATCCATTTTGTACGAGTCCTTGCCAATCACAGCCCAGCACGTATGCACTTTACGGACTACGGCTGTTTGAAAGGTTTTCTTCCATAAAATTAATCAATTCCTAGACTAATTTGACTCAACATTTCCAAAATACGTATATTTTTTTGGGAATAATCCATATAAACTATGCTATAAACAAAAAATTGTAGGATTACTTACCGAGTGTGTACCGTTCAACTATGCCGTTGCTTAAAGCTGGTTTTCGTTGCGGAACAGCACATGAATAGGCGGCCGCGATTTCTAATAAATAATTTTTCTGCGAAAACTTCATTGAACTTTGGAGACATCATTAATATAAATAGTTTTTATGGCCGTTGAATAAGAAATGTTTCTTTTACAAGAAATGTATAAAATTAGTGCTGTATTAGACTTACGGTACCTAATTTACATACTGTACAGACGATAATAAACTCAACTTACCAGCCTAAACTCTCAGTAGCGTGGCACTAGACGGCAAAAAGTATATATATAATTATAATAAAGTTACAATAAATTAATATATAATTATATATACAGTACCTAATTTATATATAATACTGTACAGATGATAGTAAACTCAATTTACTCGCCTAAACTCTCTGTAGCGTGGCGCTGGACAGTGGAAAGTAGTTCGGCTGCCCGATGACGTTTTACCAAATTATAGGAGTTTTTTTTTACCATGTTTGTATGGATATCGTCACAATTTTTTTGCCGTTATATAGAAATCCGAACTATAGGAACCTGTGTTATAGGAGGGCCTACTGTAGTTAAATTTTTAGGAACTAATGCATAAAGGAGTTTCAAAATTTTTTTGAAACATTTACCTTTCAGGACTTATAATGTATTTCCAATGTTGCAAATAAAATAATTAGGAACTAGTAAATTGCATTAATAAAGTAACAGAAACAATTAATATAATTTTTCAAGAATTAGTTAACACAAATTTCTATCAAACTTGGAATTTATTGTGAGAACTGCAGTCTCCAGAACAACTTATCTCATTGGGTGATGGCCATTATTAATCATCGAAAGATGAAAATATGTGAATATCTTAGCTTTCTCAGACTAACTTAATAGATTAAACTTTTTCAAGTAGAAAAATATATATTAAAATTTACCAGAATTTTAGGAGGGTCCAATTTGAAACATGGGCCAACGATGGAGTTAGGCATAAATGAATTGAATGAGATAATAATTAAAAGATATATTTATTAAGAAAGGATTAAATTCAAAATAATATAAAATAAACATATTAAGGAAACAAACTTCTAATTATAAATGACCCTTAAAAGAATAAGATCGAATAACAACTCATTAAGTAATTCCTTTTATAGAGAGAGAGAGAGAGAGTGTGTGTTTACATAAATATTACCTACTTGCAGTCTTCTATTGGAGAGAGATTAGTTGAGAGCACATGGGACATTCCCTAATCTTCAATATTACCCCATTGAAGGTCAAGTGACCTGAGCTTGATTTAAGTTGATTGAACTGCACTGAACTTGGTGAATTTGTCTAACTTAGCATAACACAACTTAGCCCAACTGATGTTTAGAGGTGACCTATTACCTTTTTTACAAAAATCTCATCCAATCAGATTATTTGAAAGAAGCCCTCCATACTTCCAATGCATGATGGAAGTCGGGCAGTCTTGTGGATGGAGTGAGAGAAATCACACACTAACTATTGTTTTTGGAGGAACTGTATCATTTTCTGCCATCAAAATAGGAAGTTCCTTTTACAAACAGATAAAATTTTATCAAAAATTATAACAAATATTTGTTATTTAATTTAACAAATTTAAATCATCAATCCCAGATTCTCACATTATGTTTATTTAATCCTTTACATAAAATACAATTTGATTCAATGGTCCTTTTTATTATGCTTACACAAAACCTTAATAGTGAAACATTTATGCTTAAATTAAACATTTTCAATTTGCTTTATGAGTCATCCTGAGGTTACATTATAGAATATTATAAAAGAATAATTTAAAGATCAAATATGTTAAAGACATTTTACAGATCTATATCCAAAAGAATATGTGATTACTAGGAAGATACATGTATTGTTTGCTTCAAATTGAATTTAATTTGATGTATTTATTTTGTAAGTATCTGTGTTCTGTGAGTTTGGCTTGTTATAATCCTAAATATTTGTAGACTTTGCTCTGATCCATAGATTTAATAACATCTCTATTTTCAAGTATAAAAGAATCTCCCTTCAGGATTCTTTTTTATATGTAAGTGACCTGCATTTGTCTAGGCTGAACACCATTTGAATGTCAGTGGAATAAGTCTATATAACTTCTAATAGATAGCTTTGCTTGTGTGGATGTGTAAAGTTTTATGTCATTCGTGTACATGAAATGAATAATAAATGTTGTGCTGTGTCCATATTTAGTGTTATTTAATTGATTGGACAGTGAGTTCAAGGCCAGACAAAACCAGAGTAGATTTACCAAGCTCTCTGAAAAATGCTTTACTTTAAGTATTGTTTGTTTTCATTTATGTCTTGAATCTAAAGTGTAGTGTTGTTCTCCAGTGTTGCATTGTGTTTTTAGAAATATTATTGTTATTGGATATATTTTGTGTAGATTAGTGTATGTATTAATTATTAGTATAATTTATAAGTATGATGAAATAAAGTAGAAAAACAAAAATTTTGATATTTGGGATGGTATTACTAAATTGCATATCAGTAAGTGTCATAATTTCAATGGCTGTTCTAAAGACACAAGATATATGGTGGTACAAAACTGATTGTGCCACACAAACAGATTATGCAAAACTTGTTTTTATTTGTTTTTACAATTTTTTATTTGGTATACATTGCCAAATACATTCTATTGCCACTGTGGGCTACTTGCATGAAATCATGGTATTTTTCTTATTTTACTATTAAAATTTGAGTGATAGTATAAAAGTAATGACATAACTTTTTTTATATTATTAGACTTTGAAAATTTGTTTTTGTTATACTTTAAATATTTCATGTGCATTTAAAGTCAACATACATATAATCAATATTATTTTTCCAGATTTCTTCCGAAATGTCTAACAGTGACAGAAAAAAATTTAATATGGTATTACTAATTATGATTCATGAAAAGGATATTATAGACAGATTTATTCTAAACAAGTAAGAAGAATAAGATAGAGTTATTNGCCATATACACCCAAGTTTAATTGCTGTATACACCAAGTATACCACTGATAATAGTTATTTGAATAGTGTGTTGAGATAGTGTAATCAACATATGTTGACGCCTTGAAAGCTAACCTTGAATGTCTTCTTGTGTTATCAAGAGGAACTTTTTTAGTAAGTAATATGCAGTGGCATACCATGGGTGTCAGCTGCCCGGGGCGGAGGAAAATTTTGCCCCCCGCCTTATTTAGGTATTTCAATTTAAGAGACCAAAATTCAGTTTTGTCACAGAACAAGCAATGAAAAATTCGGTGGTAGTGCAGCAATCTGTTTAAAATAGTTCAATTGGATATTAGTGGTGTATATGAACGCAAACGAATCGTACAAGCAAAAAAAAACAAAAAAAAAAGGTCAACAGGTTTCACAGGAAATCCTCGGATGAAAAAGCTACTAGTTCACCTGGCGAGCCAATTCCCGGACTGTCCAGACAATAGTACTATCATAGGCGCAATGCAGTATAGATTAGGATGTTTCAAATTTTTACAAGATATTATTATTATTTATTGTGAAATTTTGCCACCCCCTAAAAAGTACCAGTGGTGTACCAGTGGTACACCACTGGTAATATGAAAGGAAATAGATTGAAGTTAACAAGTGCCATCTAATGATGGCATAAAATACTTAAGTAATAGTTTTACATTTTAACATTTATTATTTTGCTTTTTATATTGTTTCACTACTATCAAAGTATTTTTTGTGCATTTATAATTATATTTAGTATTTTTATTTATGAAATTTAAACAGATGTGTTATTTATTTTTTACAAATAAATACACTACTGGCCATTAAAATTTCTACATCAGGAAGGAATGCAAAAAACAGAATGATATTTATTAGACACATACATTATAGTGGGATGAACAAATAATTAAATTTTTAGGAAATTTGGAGGTATAGATCTTGAGAAATCAATACCCAGAGTAGTCACTTTTGGCAGCAATAACAACACTTGTCTGCCTGACATGTTGTTGAACAGAGATTGGATGGCATGTATGGGTACAGCAGTCGATGCAGCTTCAACTCTATGCCACAAGTCATCGATCGTAGTGACTGGCAAGTGGTGGTGTGCTAGTTGCTCAGCAACCATTGACCAGACATTTTCAATTGGTGAGAGATCAGGAGAATGTGCTGGCCAGTGCAACAGTCGAACATGTTATGTATCAAGGAAGGTCAGGACAATAAGGGCAACATGTGGTCATGCATTGTCCTCTTGAAACGCAGCTTTACGGAGACCTTGAAGATAGGGCAGAGCCACAGGCAGAGACACATCAGAAATGTAATGGCTGCTATTCAAAGTGCTGGAAATGCAAACAAGAGGTGATCAAGACGTGTATCCAATGGCATCCCATACCATCACTCCAGGTGATGGGTCAGTATGATTATGTCAAATGAATGCTGGCAATGTGCATTCTCCACAATGCTGCCAAATACGGATGCAGCCATCATGGTGCTCTGAACAGAACTGGGATTCATCTAAAAGATGATGTGACCCCATTCCTGCGTCCAGGTTCATCATTGATCACATCATTGGAGGCACTCCTGCCTGTGATGCAGCGTCAAGGGTAGCCAAAACCATGGTCGCCGTGTTGACAGTCTATGCTGCTGCAAACATCATTGAACTGTTTGTGCAGACACTTGTCTTGCAAATGACCCCATTTCTTGACTAAGGATTTGTGACGTGACTGTATGATCTGTTAAGGCAATGTGGATAAGATGTCTGTCTTCTCGACTGTTAGTGATAGTGGACCACTGAGATCCTGCATGGCATTCTGTATGACTGTCCTAAACCCATTGATTCCATATTCTGCTGACAGTCATGGGATTATGATCAACACAAGCAGCAATACTGTGGTACGATAAACAATCCTGGTAGACTACAATTTGACCTCGATCAAAGTCAGACATGTGCTTGTAGTCATTTCTCCTCCTTACATGAGGCATAACAACAATGTTCTTACCAGAAAACAGTGCAAATGGTTTCTCATACAAATGCAAGTTTTGTATGAAAAACCTGCTGTAAAATCTCTTCTTTTATACACATTATAGGTGTCACTACTGCCGCCTGCCTTGCATGAATGTGTTGAAAAGCCAATCATTTGCATATCAAAGCATGTTCTATCTGTTGTGCAACTTTCATATGTGTGGTATGCCACTTTCCTGGTGTGGCAATTTTAATGGCCAGTAGTGTATATACATATATATATATATAGTTTTTTTTACAATAATGAGTTTACAAGTGGATGTCATTATAGTCAGTTATAAGCTTGTCCATTGACTTCATGACACTGAAAATATAACTTGTGTATGAAACCTGAAACAAGGAATCAAACAATACTTTATACAACATGAAAACTCTGTTAGAAANAGCAAAAATGTTTGAATAAATTTTCTAGTTATTTTAGATTTTTTTACTTGTATTATTTTTATAAGCTAAATTTATTGAATATCAATCAATTATAGATAAAAAATTTTCATTTCTAGAATAACTTTATTATTGTAAAAATAATAAACATGTTTTGAAATGTATTCATAAATAATTTTTCAGTATAATCAGTGCTAAAGACTTTGATTGGGAAAGACAGTTAAGATTCTATTGGTTAAGAGACCAAGATGAAATAAAAATTTATCAGTGTAATGGAGTACTTCATTATGGCTTTGAATATATAGGATTGAATGACAGATTAGTTATAACTCCATTAACTGAAAGGATTTATTTTACAGCTACTCAGGTAAGTCTTTTGTTTTTATTGTGCAATTAATTAAGCTGAGTTATCTGTTTGAATTCTCATTTTTATATATATTTCTAATATGATCACATAATTATCAAATCTTATCAAGTAGTGAAGATATATTTTTACTTAAACAAAATAAAAAATAATTTAATATAGCTAAAAAATTAGATACATCACTTATTTATTAGAAAACTTTAAATGTAATGTCCATTCAGGTATGAAGGAGCTTTTAATGAAAACAAATATGGTAGAGTCTCGAAAACTTGGCCTAATGTGGACTGAAGAGTGGCCGAGTTTGTGAAAATGCTGGGTTATCAGAAATGGGATTAAAAAATAATATAACTAGTAATAAAATAGCCATAATGACAATCATTTTTAAAAAATTTACAAAATATTTAAGAAACACTAAATAAATGAAGAATTTTCATACTTTGTCCTCAACATCATTTCAGAAACATATGTTTTATCAAAAAATTTACCTTTTATTAGAGGCTACTCATCTGCTTCTAATCATCCTGTTTCTTCAATTTTTTGTGAATTTATTAAAATTTATTGTCAGTTTATTAATATACATTTTTATGATTATGCCATTGCCAAAAGGAATTTTTTTTTAACATTTTGAATATTGAAGCAAATGAGAAGCTTTTAATAAAAGGTCAACTTTGCTGTAAACTGTTAAATTCCTGAGGGGTTTATCAAAAATGAAGTATGAAGATATATATTTAGTGTTTCTTAAATTTTTTTTTTGAATTAAAAAAATTTGTAATGATTTTATTGATTGACACAAAAATTTGTTTGATGTTAGAATGGGAATGCCAATGATTAATTTTCCAATAATAATATCTTTTCCTGTTAGATAGAAATCAATATAACAAAAAATTATATCTATAAGCTGGATATCCACATAGCAATTTTGTTTATAGTTTCCATTTCTTTATCAAAAATTTTTAGTATATTGCAAATTTCTATTAATTTCTCAGTTGATGTAATTGAGCCATTTTGTAGAAAATGATGTCAAATCATCTTGGAACTGAAGCAATAATGTTTAAAATGACTTCTGTATGGAAAAGGCTAGGATCTGAAGTACTCATTAATGATTGATTTTCTGTGAGTTATGTGATGAAAAAAATACATCTGGCTCAAGTGTCTGATTTACACCTAACCATGTTATTCAGATGCTCAATTTTTCTAGGTCATGCAAGTGTAATGCTGAAAGTATTCAAATTAATCAGCAAAATCACTCATGTGGATACCCAACTTTAATATTTCTGCAAGTTAGACTTACAGATTGAAAATAAAAAGTTAAATATTTGAATTTTGAATTTAATAACTGATATATGATTGTCAGCTATTGAAAACAAATTTGATCTTTACTGGTTCCTACGCTATGACTAAGCTAATCACTAAGCTATAAAATGTAATGATTTAATTGCCACTAATTCTACGTAATAGCTATTTTATACATTATATCTCAGTTTTATTTTACAATGAGTTAATTTGTATGATGTGTTTTATGATTACAAATGCACATTTTATGATGCATAATATTTTGAATGTTTTAGTAACACCAACAAAATATTTAAAAAACTGTTCTTTGTTCAAATTAGAATTGTTGTGATCTGATAATAAGACAAAATTTTTCAAAATATTAAACTTGATTATTACAAATGCACATTTTATGATGCATAATATTTTGAATGTTTTAGTAACACCAACAAAATATTTAAAAAACTGTTCTTTGTTCAAATTAGAATTTAGAATTTCTGATAATTGATAAAAATTTTTCAAAATATTAAACTTGATTAAAATATTCAGATTCCTAAAATTTTTTTTTTTGGATTATACATAGCTGAACATATTATATATGCTTTATTGTTGTATTATTATTTTTTGTTTTGTACCATACATTAGTACCATTGTTGTGTTTTATTTTTTCTTTTTGTTTTTTGTTACTACTTGTATATACTATACATATACCTGTAAGGTTTGCTTGTTGTTGTTATAACAATCTTGTTAGGCAAACGTGCATTATGTAACTAATATGTTATAAATATATCACTCTCTATTGATGATGTATCTGTATTTATAAGATTGATATAGAAGATAGATGATGACATATTAAAAATTCAACAATAAATAGAAGAAACAAGTATTTTTATTGTGTTTGATTTTATAATGAGATTATTTGCTGTTTAAAATATTTATTCTTTCTTTATTTATTTGATTTATTTTAATTGAAACCTCAACATTAATATCTAAAAATAATATGTTGATAATTCAAAAAGTTAGTTTTCATACACTAGTAAAAATCATTAAAATTAATTAATTCTTCAATTATTTTAAACAGTCATATTTGGAATTTCAAAAATTCAAAACTATCACTGTAATAAATACATTATAAAAAGTAAAATACAGAATGATATTTATAATAAACAATATAAATTAAGTTTATTTTAATGAAACTTTAGATTTGATTTGGTAATGTGAGTCATCAAAATATCAGAATTTGATGTTTGTAATTGTGTTGTATTTGTTAAATATTTCATATGTTATAAAAGCAAAAATGTTTGAATAAATTTTCTAGTTATTTTAGATTTTTTTACTTGTATTATTTTTATAAGCTAAATTTATTGAATATCAATCAATTATAGATAAAAAATTTTCATTTCTAGAATAACTTTATTATTGTAAAAATAATAAACATGTTTTGAAATGTATTCATAAATAATTTTTCAGTATAATCAGTGCTAAAGACTTTGATTGGGAAAGACAGTTAAGATTCTATTGGTTAAGAGACCAAGATGAAATAAAAATTTATCAGTGTAATGGAGTACTTCATTATGGCTTTGAATATATAGGATTGAATGACAGATTAGTTATAACTCCATTAACTGAAAGGATTTATTTTACAGCTACTCAGGTAAGTCTTTTGTTTTTATTGTGCAATTAATTAAGCTGAGTTATCTGTTTGAATTCTCATTTTTATATATATTTCTAATATGATCACATAATTATCAAATCTTATCAAGTAGTGAAGATATATTTTTACTTAAACAAAATAAAAAATAATTTAATATAGCTAAAAAATTAGATACATCACTTATTTATTAGAAAACTTTAAATGTAATGTCCATTCAGGTATGAAGGAGCTTTTAATGAAAACAAATATGGTAGAGTCTCGAAAACTTGGCCTAATGTGGACTGAAGAGTGGCCGAGTTTGTGAAAATGCTGGGTTATCAGAAATGGGATTAAAAAAAATAAGTACGAGTGTTTCCTCAGAAAATACTGTACTGTACTTGTATGTATTGTTTGCTTGAGAATACAACAGAGAATAAACTGCCCAAATACCCGTAAACAAAGAAAAAGTACTGTACATACTGTACTTTATGAAGGCACAGAGCCTTTACTACATGAAAATGAAAATTAATGGATACACAGTGTACAGTAATTTACCTGATAAGACAAACCTCAGAAAGATACTTTATTAAGCATAAAGCTGTCTACAATGAAAATTAACTATCCGACTTTGCAAAAACTGGCTACTTTTTTTAAAGAAATGCGTAATGTCTTGTTGTCTTCCACACTGCACTCTGCGTTTTGCTGCTTCATCATGAAGATGATGAAGGAACAGTAAGTCCATTACCGACGCACCTTGTTCAAAATACTGAAGGGCAGTTTCGACAGCCTTTAGTCCCTCACTATGTGATATTTTAGGAGCTTGTACAGTGGAGCCGTCAATGTCAACGTCTTCGTCATTTTTCAGCATTTTCTCATTAACTGTGACAGCAGCAATAATTTTTGCATCGGACATAATGTTTTGCTCGGTATCATTCTGGAACCACTGTTCGATGTCATTTTCATCGGCTTATGCACATCCAGGAACTCTTTTCAGGAGGTCAAGTAAGTTTACATTTTCTGCATCATCATGTTCAACAAACTCATTTCCCTTGTGATCAAGGAGTTTTCACCAGGAACGAACTGGTGTTAATGACTCTAACTCGTTCCAGGCATCCGCCACCCAGCCAACAACATACAATAGGTTAATTTTCTTTAAGTTCTGGATAAGACCTTGACCATCATAATTTGCAGAAAGAAGGGAGGATAACAGCTTATGCCTATATCTTCTCTTGAGACTAACCAAAACTCCTTGGTCCATTGGTTGGCATAACATGTGACATTGGGTGGTAAAAACATTGCTCGTATGTCCACATTTTTTAACTCTTCAATGTTTGGGTGTAAAGACGCGTTGTCCAAAATCAGAATAGCCTTCTTTGGCAGGTTTTTAGATTTTAAAAACTGCTCAACCGATGGAGCAAATACTTCATGGAACCATTCTTTGAAAATTGCACAGCTCATTCAGGCATGTGACTGGTTTCGGTACCAAACTGAAAGTTTACCCATTTCAATGTGCTTAAACGCATGTGGTTTCTTTGATTTTCCTATGAGACCAAGCTTTAATTTGTGCTCACCTGTTACATTACTGCATGCTAGGATTGTTACCCTCTCCTTGCTTCTTTTAAAACCTGGGGCTGACTGTTCTTCCTTGAAAGCAAGATTTTTTGCTGGTAACAGTTTATAATTTAACCCTGTTTCATCACAATTGTACAATCGCTCTCCGGTCAAACCTTCAGCTTTGATAAAATTCTGAAAGTTTTTTTAAACAGAGACATATCCTCCGTGTCCCCAGATAGTTTTTCCCCACAAATACTAAGCTACTGGACTCCATAGTGTTTCTTCCAGTGATCAAGCCAGCCAGTGCTTGCGACAAATTTAGGATTGTTGTCTTTTTTAAATTTTTTGTAAGATCTCAAGGCATTCTCTTGCAAGATTGGCCCACTAATTGGTGTGCCTTTTTCTCTTGTTTGGCGAAACCAAATGTAAAGTGCTTCACTTGCCTCATTAAAGTCACTTTCCTTCATACTTTTCCTTTCTTTCAATGTTGCTGTACACATTCTGCTAACACACCATGACTCGATTTCCGTCCACTTCTTCCAGT